AAAAAAAAAAAAAAAAAAAAAAGTCTCAACTTTCAAATAGTCACTCTCATACACAACTGAACAAATGGTGGTACCAAAACTAAGAAGCTTGTCCCTTCCTCATTGCACTTTCTCCCAAGGTAACCCCAAAAAGAAGACTTTAATTTTGTTTAAATTTGTCTTTCATTTTATTTAAATTTATTTCTTATTATTATCATTATTATTATTATTTGGTACAAATAACACAACACAACACACACAAAACCTCAAAGTTCTAACAATCACAACAAAATTTGGAGCTTATGTAAAAAAAAATAAAAAAATGCAGATAGCTCAATAAAGATGAGCAGCACAGCAAAACTAAAGCCACAGATGGTGATCATCAAGGAAACTCTAGGCAAAACCAAGAAACTCTTCCACAAATCTTTCAAGAATCTCAAAAAGTCCTTCAACTTTGTAAAATACCAAGAACACCCCACAAACCCTTCTCCAAGTCCCACATTGCAAGAGGTGGACAGTACATTCTGCAGAAGCTACTCCGAAAAATGGGATCCCATCGAAGTAAAGCAAAATACGAAGAAAGAAGCCCGGATTAACTCGGCAAAGGCGCAAACCAAGAAAAGCGAGCACATCGCCACCACAAGATCCATCAGCTTTGCAAGCTGCAGGGGATTAGAAGGCTTCAAGGAAGAGAAGAATGTGAGGAAAAACTCGGCGAAGAAAACAAAAGGGTCGAGCTTTAGAGGTGTCGATTTATTAGCTCGAAAGATGAAAGATTTGGAGATGATGAACATGGGCGATATGGATCACGTGCTAGACGTGGAGGAAGTCTTGCATTACTACTCGAGGCTCAACTGCCCGACTTATGTAGAGATTGTCGACAAATTTTTCACCGAGATGCATTCGGATTTCCATGCGCTGCCACCACAGCCATCAAGAAGTGGTTCGATGAGGAAATTCCGATCGGGAAGTGTTCATGGCTCGATGAGAAGCCTCGGATTTCCATTATGATTTATTACGTGTGCATATTGAATGAATATTATGATCTGTCTGTGTAAGTTCGTCTTATATTTTGCATTTTCTTATTTTCTTCGGTGTTATATGTATCGTTCGTTTTACTGTCATGTTTAACGGTTAAGTGCAAACTTCTCCCATGTTTTATTTTTAATTTCTGCATCAATAGAGAGCTTGTGGAGGATATTGACAACTAGTACAAGACATTCAATTTTTCAACATTGCATAACATGTTTGTGATCAACTAACTCATACACACATCAACTAAACACAAGATCAACCATGAGAAATTAATCTTACTTCGAACATGAAAGCTTCAGTAAAAAGATATTTTACTAAGATCGAATCAAACAAATAAGCTCAACCTTCACGAGTATGATACGCTTTTTTTTTTTCTGTCGAGAAGCGAACATTACATATTGTAGAAGAAATACAAATGCTGAAGAGCATCATCAATTTCACAGTCGTAATTTCCACTAACAAATCAATAGAACCACAACAGGATCCAACAGATGGAGCCGTTTTTACACACCTCAAACAAGCCAAAGAGGCTAAAAAATATCAGTAAGAAAATTGTACAGAACGGCTGGACAAATGTTCCAACTTGTCGAGCTGAACCATTCAGCTATATCATCAACCAAACACCGTTTTGATCGATTGTGGGTTTCCATAAAAACAAGCTGCACCACTATCGGTCTTTATATATGCAAACATCTTCGTATCACAATTTATATTATGGTCAATAGCCGGAGGAGACTAGGACATTGTGCTCCTTCAAGCGTTTTTGGAAATGAGCCAGCTGATTTTGTAACTGTAGAATGCCAGCAGCTTTCTGGGAGAGAATCGAGTTCAATCGGGAGATATAATCATCTAGCTGATTACCTGGCTGATCGGCCTCGACCAGCAAATTCATTTCCTGATAATGAGTAGTGAGGAATATATTAAGTAATAAATATGCTTGCCTTTTTTATAAAAAGAGGGGTGAAAAGGGAAAAGAGAAAAAGAACAGGAGAAAACAGGGCACATACCTCGCGAACGATTTCCATTGTCTCCTCCACTTGTTTCCTGTGTGCATTGACAAGATCTTCCTCTTCCTATAAACAGTAGAATCATAATCAAGACCTCTTTTTCACACAATGTATATTCTTGTAAGTCAGTAAACAAAAATGACAGTCAAATATATATAATAATTATTAAAAGAAATGAATAAAATATCATTCAAAAAATCCAGATACCCAAATCGATATTTATCCACATTTCGAAAATAGGAACTTTATAAGGGGGTTTAAGTACAAAAATCAAACACATTAATTTTAACAACTACTTTTTGCAATTAGGCTGAACTGAAGGGGCACGAGTTCAATTTTAACACTACCCTCTCTCCTTACACCCCCACCCCAATATTGTACCTTCAGTAAAGCATTCAGATTATCATCTGAATTCGAATGTTTTATCTCTGGCTTAGCAGGCTCCATCCACTTGGACTGGCCATTGGCTCTCCTCATTTTATCGTTCATATTTGAAAAGCTGTATGATGATTCAACTCTCGTGTTCTTCCATGTCGGCTTCTCTGGTTCACAGAAATCACCATCATATTCTTCCCTATCAGTTTGTTCCGGCCATGAATCGCCCATATCATCTTCAGCAGCCAATGTTGGTGGTGGGACTGAATTCAACGGCTGGGCAATTGACTCTTTCAGATTAGCGGTCGAAGTTAAAACATCCTTCTTGGAGTTATTTCCTTTGGAGAGGCTCTTCACCCTGAAGTTGAAAAAAGTTGCATATTTTAAGGCTCATAGGAGAAAAATTGGAAGTACATATTCAGGAAAAGGATTAAGACTGACCTGTCGGCATATCTTAGGGTATTTAAGGTATGCTCACAGGATCCTGAGGTTGGTGAAATGCACGATATCATTACCGTGCGGGAATTTCCTACAAACGAGTCCCTCAAGACTTCAGTTAGTTTGCTGCCTCGAAAAGGAATGTGCCCCTGATCATTGTCGAGTGCTCTAATACATTCCTTCAGGGCAAGCAAACTTTTATTGATCTCAGCTCCTTCCATTCTGCATTTTCATAAAATTGGATAACTTAGGATATTCATCGCTTGAAAGATAACGATCAATTTCCTCCTCCCAAATAAACCAGTTAGCCAATAGCAAGAAAATTTCCATGTCTATGTGGTACTATTATGTCTCCATGCATTATAGTCAAATTTCAGCATATCTAAGCGTGGTGTTTGACTATCACTTTCGTTTTCTTTCCTTTTTCTTGTTAATAGAAGCTAAAAGTTGTTAGGGGTGTGTTTGTTTATAAATTTTCTCAACTCATAATTAATCTATACTCAAAATCTAACTCAACTTCAACTCAACTTTAACTCAACCTCACTATACTCAATATTATCTTTATATTTAAATAATATCAATCAATCATTCTTACACGTCACATCAACGATAATTCACTATTCATCCACTCACATAATTTAACTAATCACTTCACATCATTTATCTCCTACTTTTACATCAATTCGATTTTAATTATTTTATTTTAAATATTTCTTTAATATAAACTCAAAACCCCACCAACGACTAACCATACCACCTTTTGTAAAATTAACTCTGGTTAACAAAAAAAAAAAAAAAAAAAAAAA